GGAATGGGAACAGGGAGAACCGAGGGGAGGGAAAGTGGGAGGTGAATCTTCCAAACTTTGTCGAAAATTGGTGAAAAAATTTCAAAGTTTTTCAAAATGCGCGCATGTGGTAAAAATACGGCTTTCTTCACGGAACAACACGTTACGACCTTCTTGTCCGACTTTGTCAAGCTGTCGCGCTACGCCCTGGTTGTCCCTAGGCTTTACCTCGCTCCACTCCCATACCAAGCGTGGGCTTTCGCTGCAGTGAGGTCGGGAGCACTTTCGTCGCCTTGAGGGCTCATCGACACTTTCACACCATGCGTACCTTTCAGGCTACGCCCGCTTAAGCCCGATGGTGTGGTTGGTTGTAGGGTACTCGCGTAAGAGGAGGACGTCGAGAATGCTAATGACGAGGGCCATGATAAATGTATTTATACATACTTGTTGTACTTGTCGTATGTGGATCAGTGGTCAGGGAGCGCTAGTGCGAGAGGCCTGACTTGCGTGCTGTACCATCCAGCGTATCTGATATTTGTGCTTGTTTATTGTTGTCGCTGTAAACATTCTATACTGAACATACTCAGTATTTCACTTAACATTGTACGTTCTCTGATCGATCTGTACGATTCCCATGTCGTTTTTCTCGATGTTGTGGCATAAGCTTATCTATCCCTAGCTTATGCAAAACGTTCAAGATCGTCAAAAAAATGATGGGAGCGTTAACTCGCGCTTAAGATCATCGGCTTTACAACGAAGATCAAAGTTCACAAGTAAGGAAGTATCCTCAAGGTCAGACATACTGAACATCCGTGCATAACAGAAACTCAATCAGAGCTACGCCTTCCACTACCAGCAACGATGACGGCGAATATTAGGTGGGTGGGCCCGACGAAAAAGATATCATATAGATATCATTATCTAAGTCGACAGGTTGTACCACCAGAAGAGATGTCTCGATCAAAAATGTACATGTCAATTTTTGTGCATTCTTCGTGTGATGGTGTTATCATCATTGGCAACATGTTAAGAAAAATTCAGGGAAGACAGGTCAAGAAATCGATATGTGCTGTGATGTCATTCTACAACTTAAAAATCCAATCCTTCTATTTTATAAAGCGCTAACTTTGTGTGTCGGTTTGTGTATCTGTATGTGTGTGTGTGTATGTATGTATGTGTGTCCGTCCGCAAAATGAAGTGAGTGAGAAGGAAGCTCATGGGATAAACAAACCGCTAACAAATCGGGTAGCTTACAGGATTTGAGATATCAATGTTTTGTAGCAGGATAGTTGTGATAACACTCTTCAGGGCTATATAAACACCTGCTTAGCACACTTCCGTTCATTCCACATGGTGCTGCAGTGGCAGCTGGAGGGCAGTGGAGAGAGGAAGGGAGGATGAGGAAGGGGAGCGAAAGGAAGTGGAAGGGAGGGGAGAGAGGATAAGAGGGAAGGGAGGGGAGAGGAGAAAGGAGAGGAGAACATGGCGCTGCCATGCGCCGGAGAGAAGGGGTATAAGGAGGTATAACACATTCAATAGTGAGGTGGTTAATGGAGTACGTCATGCTGCTATTCCGTGGTTCCTCCCTACCCTGTGATGCGCGCGATAGCGGGCGGAGCAAACCTGGTTATTAAAAGTGCGGTCCGTGACTTTGTAAAGCTGGAGCTGTATTAGCGTAGGCTGAAAAGCTTTGCTCGAGCATGTAAGGTCCGATCAAACTGGGTCGTATCTTGGAAATTCTGACTTCAAGGAGCTCAGGGCAAGTGGAAAGCTTGGTTTTCTTGATCCGGGTAATAGAGCAGGAGATGTTGCGAGAGCCCGCCTGGGGATGAGTTACTCACAAGTGCTGAACAGGACGCATTCATCCTGATCGAAAAACAGTGCAATTCAATTTGCTGGATCTTCAAGTCGGCTACTTGGCACTATATTGGCATAAGAACTATGAACCATTTGGAAATTATCTCAATCATCGATTATATGAAGCAACGTCAAATATTTCAGGAAGAACGTAGTATTTTGCTCTCTACGGGAGAGCTCGTATGAGATGGGGATGGCTCTGCATTCGGAGGAAGGAGGCCGCAAATACTTTGAATTAAGATGTTCCTTTTTTTTTCAGGGAGCTCCACTAGATGGGAGATTGCGTAAGTTTGGCACTTTGCTGTTTAGATGAGTCATCCCCTGCCCCTCTCCCTCCCCCGACATAAGGCGGAATTTCTGTGGACTGTCAGCTATAGTTCCAGGACAAGGTTGAATGGGAGAGGAGTGGAGCCGGCGAAAGAGGTAGGTTTTGTGGAGGCCTATCCGAAGAATCGTGTTTGCTGTAAGAATCAGCTAAATTTACGCAACATGTGGCTCACTATAAAGTGCACGTGTAGCTTGGCTCTTCCTTTGAAGCACCTTGCTAGTTATGGCTTGTTTCGTGAAGGTACAGATCGCCAGTCAACGAAAAATCCCCCTCTTCCACCGCAATAGTAGGGGCATTGTACTCATATAGAAGGCCGTTTGTTGCAGTCGTCCACTAGCAATGAAAGCAACTGGAATATTGCTAGTATCCCGCAAAATCACATAGCGTGCTCATCATATGAGCGGGGTTTGCGACCACTCCGTAAGGGTGGTGTGCGAATCCCGCCCTTACGATAACGCGCAAACGTAATTCCAAGAACTTTGGCTGCTTACTTTCTTCTTCGATTAAGTGGGCGGGGTCTTACGACACATGCAGCTCAACTTCTTATTATTTACTGTTCACGAAATATTTCCTGGTCAACTTTCTTAGCTCACTGGGTATGTTATTTACTATGATTTCGACTATTCCCACCATGTTGTGATTGCTTAAGCGTGATCACGATAATTTTCATGGGAACGATAAGGGAAGCTATGTATTGGAGTGGATAGAGGTCCTGCCCAGTGTTACAACACGTGAAGTTTCAGTGGCAGTGGCGCCTTATCAACGGAGTGATAAGGCGCCGAAATCCACTTCCGTTCAGCAAAAACCAAGACTTATCGATGTGGAAAGGGGTGCGATAAGAGCGTGCTAGATATGATACCGTTATCGTTATCGTCCCGTTTTCATTCTGGAGTGCACCTCTTATCAAGCAGCCGCACCTTCTTATCTCATCGTATCATATCTTCCATGGGCTTACACTCGTCCAACAATTACTGCCTCACACCTTATCGATTGATAACGCGAGGGTAGCAAATCCAGCGTGGAAGCCAGCGTGACTGCTTCCTTTAAAGCCACGAGTCAGGATCTAGGCGACCGGCAGAAGTTGTTCCCAGGGTGCGATAGTGGGCTCCCCAAGCACTGAGGGCGCGACACTATCGCGACCCAAAAGTGCGCGGCAATGGCGCTAAGGCCTTGCCGCCGCGCTGCCAGCGTAATCCACCACGGCATACGTGGTCTCTGCGTCCTCTCGCGTACGACGTACTATCTCGCGTTCTCCCTCTCCTCGCAGCGCTGTGTCTCTCCGTCGTACTACGGCCGGCCTCCTAAGGGAAATTAGTGTTTTCTATGGTGCTTTTTGCTTTTTCTCCTCACTAATGTTCCTCATTGCACCCCTTGCCTAATGTTTGAACAAAATAAAGCATCAATTCAATCCCGACTCGTGCCTTTAAGGTGATGGAAAT